AACACCTCGCGTTTGCTCAACAAAAATACGAAGAAAATCATTAGATTATAACTCCTCTCCCATGGGGTAGAAGTATATACGTTACGCCATAAGTTCCTAATTAAGTTAAAATTCGAAATTGTATGCTTTATGTTAGAAGTTAAAATTAGCATGGGTGACTATATAGGGACTTAACGGTTTAAAAGTAGGACTTTATGAATATTACGATAACCTAATGTATCCTCTTTTTTCATTTTCTGCTGTTTTTTTCTTCTTAAATTATCGTTGGATGTCAACTTTACTCCTACATTTCTCCCTATCAAAAACAGTTCTGCTTGCAGATTCCACTCGGACCCTAACGGGGTCGACGAAAGTACGGAGTTTAACAATCCGCTTTATTCGAGGAATTCAGTACTTGACCCGATTAGAAGTGCTCTTACTGAAGAAGAGCAAGCACTCGAGCAAAAGAAGCTTCGTGGACGAACTGCTGCTGATCGCGCGCAAAGTAATATTTTACTTTTTCTTGAAAAACTTGAAGAAATAATTCTTGTTGTTTTATCGAATGGATGTGACAGCCAACTGGATGGAATTATGTGTTGATGCTTTCCTCCAACTTTGAATTATCAACACTGTGCTTCAGTATACCTCACAAAAAGTCGCTAGGTTTAGAGTTGCTGTCATCGGGTGAGGTAGTCTAAAAACCAAAAATAGGGACAGATAGTACAGTGGTAGTGATGTTGGTTGCGGCGAACACGGTGTGGTTCAATCCCGCTCCGGACCCAGCAAGCCTACCATCCACTCAAAGTCGGGAAATTGGTACCGGACTTGTCTGGGAAAAGTTTACTCTCTGCAATCCAATTGGATCGTTTTAGCCGAGCTATCTCAGAACTCCAGGGAGAATCATCTCGACCAGAATTTAACGATATCCATGATGGAAAGAAAGTCCTCAAGCAGCAGGCAAAGCCACACGTAAAAGTTGAAAGACCTGAGTGGATGATGGTAATGAGGAAACGAATCGAATGTGAGAGGAAACAATAGATGTGAAGAGGGGTCGGATAAAATAAAAATCAAAAAATAAAATACCAAAAGCACGTCATCTACATTACTTCAGTGGTCTACTTTTCTGACATACCAGAAATTTCGTGATATATTACGGTCTGTTCAAATCGTAGAAATCCTAACTGTTCAATCGATAGAGATTTCTTTTGAGTCAGTAGGAAGTATGGTTCCACTTTGGTCTCTTAGCCAAGTTATTACAGAACTATCAGTATTATAATTTTAACATTTTTTTTACTGCCTATTTTTTTAATGGCAGGGTATGTTGCGAAATATAACTTCTGTGATGCTGAGATATTTGCAAAACTCCGGACCGCAGGTGTATGCGGTGGGGAACGAGCGCGCTATTGTCCTTTCCGTGGAATAACGCGTTCGCCACCACACCATGCGGGTCAGTATTATAGTCGATTCATACTGGTAAAAGGGACCAATAGGGTTCTTCATTGTTATCTTTCGCCACATTAATATGATTCATATTCTATTTTCGTCACAGTTTTCAATGAAGTTTCTGCCTTTTCTGAAATTCATTGTCCATCATATCCGGCCTGTATGCCTGAGTCATTCATACAAACTATTGCAGACGACTACGCTTCCCTGGACGAAATGGCAGGAACGTCGTCGACATCGCGAGGCCAGTGCACAGTACCTCTTCTGGAGGAGTCAAGAGCGCACAATGGCGAAAGTATGCTGAACAAGTCATCCAGTTAAAACCACTACTACCACTGATCTGCTTTACTCACACCTCGCATGTTTGCATGTCTTCATCCTCACATGCACATCCTACGTCCTTGGTTCGTTCATACGAATTTTCTTTAGTAACACTCCTTTAACGCGATGAGTAGCCTTAAGAACGAGACGATTCATTTTTCACTAAGGGAATGGCTACCTTTACATCCTCATAGAATCGGATGTAGATTGTTATTGTCGACTGAATGAGGTACTTTCTTCCATGGAAGACGTTAAAACCTTTATAGTTAATATAATACATTTGTAAAGTACGGACTCTTCTTTTCAAGACGTTCACAACTTTGAATAGGACTGTTCGATCTTACCACCTGTAAAGTAAGGCATTTTCTTCCTATCGTTCCATTTATTTTTATGTTCCACTACCCACATTCACTGTCAACACTCACGATCGTTTTGTATGACTCCTTCTTGTTTTCTTGTTGGAAAACTTCGGCTTTTCAACTTTGGAGATACGGCTGATGTTCACAGTTCTTAACATTCGCAGTTTGTCCTTTGTTTTTGCATGCTTCATGTTGTTGTTTGTAGTTTGGAGATGAAGACGTCTACTCAGATACACTGCTAACGGTTGTTGACGTCACAATAGTCGTCCACCAGATTACTTGGTAATATTGGTCTTCTAATGGAACACTGCTTCCAAACCTGACGACGATGTTCGGGCTGGTTCGTATCCATAGTTAGCGATCCTTTCCGAGATTAGCAGCTACTCATCACCATGTTCGAATGTTGTTTTTTGTACCACGTTTACATCATGTTCGATGCATGTGTTTTTATGTGTGGTTCGTGGTTTTTTAACTGGATGACCGGTTCACTGTCATTCCTGTTGTGTTTTTTGTCACCTCTAAAATCACATTATGTTCATAACTTCACTTAGAATTAGATTAGCTTAATTAGTTCACAAGCTGAGCACTTCTAGGCGCGTTCAGAATTTCTATGGAAAACAGATGCAGGTCTTTAATTTAAGGGCCTACTATAGTCCGAGACGACACATGTAGGGAACTTCCTTATTGAAGCGCGAAAATGCTTCCAGTATTGGGAACGGTTCTAACCAGTGGAAGTTTACCGACTTGTTGCTTGTTCCGAACCGCAAGCGATATGTGGGCATCGTAGATTTTGCTGCTGGACTTAGTCAATACGTATATCTAGCATTACCTCATGTTGTGCGCGAAGTATATTCGAACCCTCTATGTTGATTGAATTCGACTCGGAAGCGATTTTTTGACAAATAATTTTGATAACATAAAAAGCAGGTGGTGTTGAAAGTCACTTAGATGTATACGAATACATCTACCACAGTAATCCTATCTTCTTTCCTGTTTCCGCGTTAAAAAAGAACTTCGACAGACGAGTGAATCAACGAAGAGTTCGTTGTTCACTTAGGTTTGGCGGGAACAGCCATGATCTGCTGGGGAGATTTAAGTCAGTTGTTTAGTTTAGACGTATCCCGTTGAATCTGAGAAAGCTGATATGAGAGAAAAAAGTTTCTGTTAAGGAGAAAGCTCCTTCGTAGAGTTAAAGCTACTTCATTTCTGCTTGATTTTGTCAATGATGGTGAGAGAACTCAACGTCGAATACTCTTCTCGAAAATTAACTTTAGCTGAATCTCAACCCTTTTATTTACTCCCTTTTTCTTTTTAATGGCAGGGTATGTTGCGAAATATAACTCGTATATAATGCTGAGATATTTGCAAAACTCCGGACCGCAGGTGTATGCGGTGGGGAACGAACGCGCGCTATTGTCCTTACCGTGGAGTAGCGCACTTCACCACCGCACCATCCGGGTCCTTCGCGTTCGTTCCCCAGCGCATACACTTGCGGTCCGGAGTTTTGCAAATATCTCAGCATTATATACGAGTTATGACTTTAGTTGAGCTGAGAAAAAGGCGAAACGAAGGACACGCATAGTGTGGTGGTGAACGCGTTAACCCCCGGAAACAGTAATAGCGCGTTCGTTCCTTGCCGCGGACACCTGCGGTCTGGAGTTTTGCAAATATCTCAGGATCATAGTAGTTGTATTAACTTTAGCCTTTATATTATAGAATTTGTGAACGCTGTTCCAGCAGTATTTGTAGTCGGCCTGAATGCCACACGAGTTACTGTGTAACTGCAAGTCTGTTTATGGCTTATTGATATGGATTGATATGCATAAAATACAAGGGTGGTAGTCGCTCTAATCATGATAGGCTCTAATGCGCTAGGAAGAATGATGCGGTAAAGATGGTAGGACGAAAGATCTCGCTAAAGTCATAGACCTATGATGTCTATAAAGTAGAGCCAAGTATCCGTGTACATTCAAGTGACTCCAAATACTTTATGGGAGTCTTTTAATCCATCTCTTCGATTTCTATCCTTCACTTATTCAGATTTTCGATGAATTTCAGCTACGGACGACGGCTACGAAGTACCACTCAATCCACCGAATCACCTCAGTAGTCCTCAATCTCGACAAAAAGAAAACGAAATGAACGCACGACGAGCGCGCAATCACTACACGTAGTAGAAGCTTTTATCTTTGTTCTTTACTACTGTTCATCTACAAACTCTTTGTCTAAAATTCCTCATCATTCCTTGTCTGGTTCACACCTCTCTCCATTATTTCCTGAGACGGGATATATTAGCACGTATTTTTGTTTATTTACACCTCAGATTGCTAGCTGACTTTGTGCTGGCTTCATCACTATTTATTCAGTTTTGTTCTGAAATCCTCTCACGTCTAACAGTGTTTTCTTTCCTTCCGCTCACTAGTCGGTCTCAGCTTTTACGGCTGAGTGATTTCTGTTTGCTTTCTTAGCTGTTATTACGCAAAACACACTTTCACAAGTCCGTGCCAGTCATCCGAAATCCACCACTGAACCTCGTCTGCCTAGAACCATCATTTTTCCATAGCCTATTTGTTCTACCCTACAGTGGATTTTGAGATTCATAACAGAGCATGTAAGTTAGGATTTTTCCCTATCCAGGCCTTTTTAGCCAATAGACGATTGCGCTATCACGTGTTGATTCCTGTGCTATTATTAAGCGTATTCATATGATCGTTACTATACGTGTACCATGTTTATTTTCTATAATTCTTCCTAATGAGATTATAAATCGTTACGCATGGTCTTTTGTGAAAAGCAGACTTCTAGAAAGTGAATGATAGAAACGGTAATCCCGTTTAGAACCCAAACAGATGTTTATGTGGGATTTTGCAGAATCAGCTCCACTTACATCGTAAAGAACTCGTCTAACTGTAACAGATGTGACAAAGTTGCTCAAAAATGCCGATTGTGAAAAAACAGTACGGAAGAAACAGAAAAAGAAACCATCTAAGGTTACTCTTACAAAAGACATCCAAAAAGGTTACTGTAGGGATCTTCATGGAAATGGTGTTACGGTATCAGCCCTTGCACAAGACGACATCCGTCAGTTTTCCAGATAGAACAAGGAACATCCTGCTACTAGGATAGAACAACCAGCTGGTTCTTTTCGAAAACATTGTTGGTTACGGTAAAACATCGGCGAAACATCAGAACGAACGCCATACTACGTGGACTTGTACTAAGCAAGAGTTCTAGCCAACTCTTTTCATTACAAAGTCGCTTCTGATGATACTATTATCCTTCCCAGACAGCATTGAAGAGGCAACGAGACCCAAAAAGCAGAATGAGGAGGGAAGGAAGTAGGACCATGAAAAGTCGATCGAAAAAATGCAGTTCATGAAAAATGCAATGTCCGAAGAAGAATAAATGATGTTCTTGGATTGCAAAGACCAGATCTAAACGTTCAGCATAGACGTTCAGTGGGCGGAGCAGTGGAAACAGCGGAACTATACAAGGCTGGTAGGAAGACCACATGTCCCATCAACTAACCGATTAAACAATCCCCCGTTGAAGTTTTCAGTATCGCTTCCTGTTCTAGGACTATCAAGTGGCTAAGCATCGAATCGTTCCAATTATCTCCAGAAAGAAAACTAAGGTTTACACTAATTCTCATGATTCTTTAGTTGTACACTTATCATGCAGATTTGTGATGCAATCGACTAAATACCACCTACCAGTTGTAACCCTACAACAACCGATTAATTCGAGCTGATACCGGTAAACTCCTTACTGCAGCGGACGAGGATTACTCGATGAGCGGCATTTGCCTAACGCTCTTGGGACTACTCGTAATTTCGCTTTTGCGTTAATATCTTAAAATAAACCATCGGAAAGAAGAGGAAACCTATGGAAAACATTCCGGCTACACGGACAACCTTGAAATTACATTCGTCGTAACAATGTTAGAGGATGCGAGAAGCATATTTGTGGTACGATGTTTTTCACTGTCTAAGTGAGAAGGTCACCATGGTAGTTCTTTGGATCCTAAAAGAAAATAATAATACCATTCTCTGCTTCAATGACCACTACGATGCTGAGGTATTTGCAAAGTTTGCAAGGCCAGATCCGAATCCACGACTATCCTTCCCGAGGGTCACGTGTTTCCCACTGCACTACTGAACCTTCGCTCTGCCTTTCTCTCAGCCAGTTTTTTCCTAACGGTGCCATCAGCAATCACCCGTCAACAGGAATTATCTGGAGAGCACAAATCGGCGTTGAACTCAGTTGAGCTCAAGTTGTAAATGAAATCACAATGTTAACTTTTTTATTTACTATCTACTACAATTCTTCAAGGTAGGGTCATCTGTCACCTGTACTCTCGTTGATCGTCGAGTGACTCGAGCGAGCACCATTACATCCTCTATTTTTCCCTGTCGCGTGCAAGAGTAGCCCAGTGGGTTCTGCTTGCTCTAGGGACTCGTCGAGCATCATATCTTTCTTCAAGGCTCTTTATGAAGAACTCTGGACATCGGGTCGGTGGTCTTCCTGCAGTACGTTTGACAACCCGAGAAATTCACTCCCTAACGGCTCTTGTCCATCGGTTATCATTCATACGCATTACGTGTCCGGCCCACCTTATCTTCGACTGTTGGGGGGTACAGAAGGTAGGGTATTACGTGGAATACAACCGCAACGACGCTAAGATATTCGCAAAAATGGGTCAATCCCGTTGATGGGTGATTGTTGATGACACTGGCAGATAGAAAACTAGATGAGAGAAAGGCGAAACGAAGGACCCTCTTGGTGTGGTCATCGACGCGTTAGTCTCCTGAAAGGGTAGTAGCGTGTTCGATCCCCACCGCAGACATCTGCGGTCTAGAGTTTTGCAAATATCTCAGCACCATTGTGGTTATAACAACACACTTCCTCAATATCGATTGTCCGTCAGTATGATCTTCTTCCATGGCACTGGAAACTATCTATACCGAAACTGCATATGTTGCTTTCCAACTTGATATTTTACAGCCTCTCAAGGAAAGGATAGCGTAGTGGTAGTGGGCCCGTTCATTACGCGATGGCCAAACCTACCCAGATGCCAGTTCGAATTCTCAACGGCCACATCAAGCTTGCCATCCATCCAGGGTCGGGAAGTTGGTAGCCCCTAGGACGGTTATTCCAAGATTCCAGGTAGGATTGACTTGACGAGCGACATTCGTGATGACGACGAAAAAAATCCTCAAGCAACGGTTGAACCCACACGCAAAAAAACGCTCAAAGATTTCTGTGGATGGTGGATGGGGTGGAGAAACCAATCAAATACGAATGGCTGGGATCTGCATAGTGAAATAAATTAACGAACAAACGGATACAAAGTCTCTCAGACCCGAAGACAAATGTCAATTGCTTGGATGGAGCCTCGACCCAACCCTGTCGTGTAACTGAGGCGGACCACAGGTGACGAGAATTTCTATTGGACGCGTTAGCTTTGGATTACATAGGTCCTACACAGATAAATACCTTTTGGCGGGAGAGTTTTCAATTAGAATTTTTAGAGGGTTCAGACGTCTCTTTCCATAAGTGCTTTCCTTTAATTGTTGTATGTTATCTCGGGTTTGCTTAGCTGGTGTTTTATGACTTTGTTTTTAGTGTACTTTGTACTTTTAGGTTAGTTAGATGTTTGAGAGCGATGACGTGGAGGAGGAGCAAATTCAATTGCAGGCAGTTGAGATGTATGTCCTCTTCCATATTTTTCGTGTCAAAAGCCTTTATTTCATTCTATTAGTGAAGAATATCGTAATCCATCGAAAGTTTCAGTGACGCTAACTATGATGATCGCGTACAAAGGATTAAGTCGAACGACTTAATTGATTTAAAATTTGGTTTCGAACGCTATACGGGAGCAGCAGAGAGGAGCTCATGGTTGATTAATTTCCAACCCGTCAGTTCTTTCTTATTTGTAATCTGCTTTTATGTTTAGCTACGGTACTCTTTCAATACTGTTCTATTTTTTCAGTCAGAAGTTATTGATGAGCAAAGCAAAGCGATATTATCTTCTGTGGATTTTTATTTCATCGAAGATGGTGGCAAACGCTTTAAGGTACATTCTATCATTTCACTACAAGGCTTTTGTGATGATATCCGTTTTACTGATCTTTTGACCGTTTGCTTTCCCAAGAGTTCACCGCCTCATCGTGGCTGGGAGGTGTTCCTAGGTGTCGGGCTGCGATGTACAGCGAGGGGATTCATCCTTCAAGAAGGCCTATCAGCTGAACGGCAGCCTAGCGTTCGCAGCAGGAAGTCCAGTTAAGAGTAAACCAAAATCAGGATCCACCGCCGTCCTGGTATCAAACTAGTCGCATGGTGGCAAGCCTCACTCTGATTCACATGGGCGACGGCTGCCTGGGGTGGTGACGACCTAGAGCAGACTTTGGCTAGGCTGACCTCGGGACTCTAGAGAAAGACGGGAAACATGGCTAAACCACCAAAACTCTGAAACATGGAGGTTTTGTTGGGGCCCGCACAACCAGTGAAAGCAGGCCAATCAGACCTTCAAGTAAGTAAGTTTCTCTGTTTATATTTACTGTTTACTTATTCATTTCTTGTGCGCTCTACATTGCCTTTGAAAGGTCTCAGTTTAAATGCCTTGCGACATCTTCATCCCATTTAGGTATCATATCCTTTCCGACCATATTTTTATATATGTGCCACCGATGGCAATGAACATCAAGTAACATCATTTTTGTCGAAGAAGTATGGTTTTCTAACCTCTGATATTGTTGAAAAAGAAGATCTGGATTTGGTAAGGTTTTTAAATGTTTCATCAAAATCCCATACTCAATATTATCTCATATTGCAGAAAAATCACCTTTCTGGGTTAAAAAGAACATATATAAAGCTCTCATTTCCCAGCACTAGTGAGCTAGGAAAGGTAAAAAGGGACATACTTCCAAATGTTCGTAAGAACAAGGAGAGAATAAAGAGGGAGTCTCAGTACTGTTCGTACCTTGCAAGGTTAGTGTTGTATCGCTTGTGTAGTGACCAGAGGCTTTATGGTGTAGTTTTTTTAAGGAACATGGGAGAGTCCAGTTACGATGTACAAGATGATGACGTCATGTCTAACATTATAGACATTCGGTTCGTCTGTTTATCTTTGGCCTTACTTTATATACCCCTTTTCTTTAGTCCGAGATGAATTTCTAGAGAATATGACGTGCCCTACCACATGAGAGTTGCTATCGATGAGAAGTTCTTTATCGGTAAATGGTATTCCGTGCGAGGTATTAGTGCAAATAGACGACCCAGTATAGTAAGGTACGTTTCAGTGCTAGGATTTGTTCCAGACAGGTTGATTTTGAGCTTGCATTTAAGCAATCCTGCTTTGATGATGCCTGTAGATCCTATCGTATTGGCATTCGACATCGAAACAACGAAACTTCCTCTCAAATTTCCGGATTCTGCCAGTGATGAAATCATGATGATTTCCTACATGGTGAGAGAGCTCTGCGGTTTATAGGCTTGAACCTGTATCATACTTCCTCCAGGTCGACGGGAAAGGTTTCCTGGTTATAAATCGTGACATCGTTTCTGAAGATATTGAACAATTTGAATATACTCCGAGAGAAGAGTTCAAGGGAGAGTTCTCCATATTCAACGAGATCAATGAGATAGCAACTATAAGAAGGTGTTCTCCATAGTAATCATGGTAGATTAACTTTGGACTTACTGGTTAGCTAATGTTTATCTCCTTAAGGTTTTTCGACCATATCTTGGAGGTCCAGCCAAACATCATTGTTACTTATAACGGAGATTTCTTCGACTGGTCAGTTTCTTTCACTACAGTGGTGTTGAGATCTTTGCAAAACTCTGGACCGCAGGTTTCTTCGACGGAGATCGAACCTCGTTATTACCTTTTCGGGGGGTAACGTGTTCACTACTTCACCATACCTGTCATTCGTTCTTTTTTCTCAACCGTGTTTTATGAGCGCTATTAGCAGTCACCCGTCAACGGGGCTTTGTTTCGTTATTTCTTCTAGTATCAAATTTAACCCAAACTAGTCGGAAAATACTGCATCGAAGTCCTGTTTCAGGCCCTTTGTTGAAACACGTGCACGTATTCGTGGCATAAATATGATGGAAGAAATTGGATTTTCAAAGGACTCTCTTGATGAGTATAAAAGTCGAAATTGTGCTCATATGGATGCATTCAGGTTCTGTACTCATTTCACACCTACTGGTAAACGGGTTGTTTTGCTTGCTCGATAATTATCCCGATTAGGTGGGTAAAGCGTGACTCCTATCTTCCCATGGGTAGTCAGAATCTGAAGGCTGTTGCTAAGGCTAAGTTGGGTTACGATCCGATTGAGGTAGATCCCGAAGAAATGTGTAAAATGGCTCGAGAAGAACCACAGGTGAGTTGCTTACTGCAGCGCTAAGTTATACTATCCTATCCTTTGCTACTGTTTAGAGTCTTGCAAACTACTCAGTTTCTGATGCTGTTGCGACTTATTACTTGTACATGAAATACGTCCATCCATTCGTTTTCGCCTTGTGTACCATTATTCCACTTGGAGCGGACGATGTGAGACAAACCTAAACTTTGTAAATATGTTAGTACTGAAAGTTTCGATGTATTTTATCAATCTTATTCCCAGGTGCTTAGGAAAGGATCAGGGACTTTATGTGAAGCCCTTCTCATGGTTGAAGCTTTCCAGCACAATATCATATTTCCGAATAAATTCGTAGATGCAGACGAAGTGAAATGTACGAGCGATGGACACCGGTGCGTAGTTTTTGTGTGTTTTAGTTTAAGGGCGCACATGGCGCAGTGGTCGGAGACACCCTGCAACACACCTGAGATCGATCCCCGCGCCCCAGGCCCACCAAGCTTTTCATCCCTCCGGTGTTGGTACATTAGTACCGGAATTCTGTGTGAAAATTGCAGCACTGGTTCGATGCATCGGTAAGCTACCGCGAGTCATTGCAGAGGCCAGACATGTATTCATCACCTCCAAACGGTGCTTAATGAAGTCGAATTCATGGCGCATCCCTCGGCGATTGATCAACACCGAAAGCTTTATTTGTATCCATAGTTCGAAACGATTTGGTGCTTCTATCACTTTGAATTTTGACAATACAGGATCGATTCTGAAACATATGTTGGAGGACATGTGGAGGCTTTGCAAGCTGGCATTTTCCGTGCTGATATTCCTTGCAGGTACCTATAATTGTTTTAGGTGCACATAGAAATTGTTTCTTAACGTCTTTTTAAGATTCCGTTTGGTACCAGCAGCCTTGAAAAGTCTGAGAGACTCTGTCCCTAAGACGTTGGAAAGAGAGCTTTTGAGGGAGTGTAACATTTCCCTAGATAGTGTTTTGGATTTTGATGAGCGGGTAAGTTCTTTGTCTTCGTGGTACCCCTACATCGATTTTATTTTGATGTTCCAGTGTGCCGAGGTTCAAGAAACATTTAACAATCTCCTTGCCATCCCTGCCAGGTATACACTTTTCCATCATGCACCATTCTCACAGTTTAAAGCATTTAATGATATAACCGTAATGAAGCTGAAATATTTGCAAAACTCGGGACCGCTGGTGTCTGTGATGGGGATCGAACACGCTATTCCCTCTCCAGGGACTAAGGCGTTCACCAACGCACCATGCGGGTCCTTTGTTTCGCCTTCCTTTGAGTCGTGTTATTTACTGGTGCCCACCTTTTTCATTCTAGAATGGAAAATCCACGAATATATCACTTAGATGTTGGTGCAATGTATCCAAACATAATTCTGACCAATCGACTACAGGTACGTGTTACGACTGAACCACTCTTTATTGTTTTTAAATATTTTCCCAAATATTTCTGTTATTTAAGTAGTTTCCTCTCGGTGGTTTACCGCCTCATTGTGGCTGGGAAGTGCTCCTGGATGTCGGGCTGCGATGTACAGCGGAGAGACTCACCCCCAGCATGGTTTCTCAGGCTGAGAAGTAGCCGGCCTTTCCATCAGGAAGCCCAGTTAAAAGTAAACCAATACCAGGATCAGTCACCGTCCTGGTATCAAACTAGTCGCTTGGTGGGAAATTTCTTTCTGATCCATACGGGCGGCGACTGCTTGTGGTGACCACCTGGGACATACTTTGGGTAAGCTGTCCTCGGGACTGCAGGGAACCACGGTGGCTAGATCAGCAAATCTGCGGAGAATGGAACTTATGCTGGAGCCCGCACTGCCAGTGAAGACAGGCCATCCAAGTATTCAAGTATTTAGGTAGTCTACTTGGTTTTCTATTTTAGCCTTGTGCTGTAGTAAACGAGGAAGTATGCATGGCGTGTTCGTACAATCGACCAGACGCTAAGTGCAAACGAATCATGGATTGGGAATGGAGAGGAGAACTCGGTAGGAATTTCATCCTAGATTCTCGTCGTGACTACTAACTTATTATTTGACATTAAGTTCCGGCTAGTCGGGGTGAGTTGCAACAAATCATCCAACAGCTGGAAGGGGAGACATTTGGCAAACCACCAAGAGCTTTTCGTCAATTGGATAAGAAGGAAAGACAATTTATCGAGAAGAAGAGAATACAGGGTGACTGTCGTAATCGTCCCGCTTCCATAGCAGTTTACAACTTTAGTAATAATCAAGCTTAATAGAAATGTGCTGAGTTAATTTGTATTTTTTAGTTTTTCCCTTTAGATTATTCCCGTCGAGTTTACGGTAGAACTCATCTGGCTCGCACTGAGATGCGTCAGACCATGATTTGTCAACGAGAGAATTCATTCTATGTAGACACGGTGAAGGCCTTTCGCGATCGTCGGTAGGTTGGGTTTTCCCTTTTGTTGCTAATTATTAAGAAGTAGTTAAGGACCCGCATGGTGTGGTGGTGAATGCGTTAGCTTTCCGAAAGGGCAGTAGCGTGTTCAACCCCCACCGTAGACATTCGGAGTTTTGCAAAATATCTCAGCATCATTGTGGTTGTATCCTACATTAAACCCTGCAGTGAAAAATTGCAGTAGGGTAAGTAGAAAGTTAACACCAAGTAATAGTAATTATTCCAGATACGAATACAAGGAGTTATTAAAGAAAGCAAAGTTATCACTGAGTGAACTGCCGAGAGATGACTTAGCAAGCATTAAAGCAGCAAAAGGTAGGTGATTTCTGGGGAATTTCAGTACTTTAGGTGTTTTCTTGTGAATGTGTATCTCCGTTTCATTGCTTCCACACCTAGGATTTGTTCTGTATCACTTTTCTATAACTGAACTAAAATAACTTTAGGTCGCGTAACCTTATATGAGTCATTACAGCTGGCTCATAAGTGTATTCTTAATTCGTTTTATGGTTATGTTATGAGGAAAGGAAGTCGTTGGTAAGAAAGGAATTCTTTACTGAAAACTGGTTTTGTCTTGAAGTTGGTAGATCTTTGCTAATATTATCCCTAGCCAGGTTTTCGATGGAAATGGCTGGCATAGTTTGTCATACTGGTGCAAAGATTATCACTGAAGCAAGAAAACTTGTTGAGCAAATTGGCAAACCACTTGAATTGGACACTGATGGTTTGCTAGCCCTATTCTGTAGTCATTTAAATCAGTCTTGAATGTGATCTGCCTATTTAGGTATATGGTGCTTACTACCAGCGTCGTTCCCAGAAAATGTGACTTTTGCGCTTAAAAATCATAAGCGAAGATCGGTATGATAATATTTATCCCTCTTTTCGTAGCTTTAAGAACCAGAATGACGATGACTTTTCGATTTTTTGATGTAGGTTACTGTGTCATATCCTGGAGCTATGCTTAACGCTCTTGTCAACGAAGGCTTTACGAATGATCAGTATCATAATCTGCAACCCGATGGCTCATACACCATTTCTGAAGAGAATTCGATCTTCTTTGAGGTAATATTTTTTTCAAAGATAGTTCTCGTATTGCCCAGTGATTAGAGATGCTTTACAATATCTATGGATTTTGCTGGCTGGAGTGCAGTCTGGAGTTTGCTAAGAGGCTTTCTGCGACGTTAGCAGCGCTGACTTGACACATTGTTGAGCCAATACAAGTAATTCTATTTACCAAATATGCATTCGATCACTTTGAAGGATGCTTCATGGAGTCCACTATATGGGGCATCGCTTAGGGCCTGATCACCGCCGAAAAGATTATCCTTCATCCTTAATTTTTTTAATTTAATATTTCTTTAGCAGTGTGATCTTATGCGCCAACATAAGTACTTCATCTTTATGAAGGCTGTGACTATTAGGTGTTTTTCAGGTGGATGGTCCTTATCAATGTATGGTTCTGCCAGCTTCAAAAGAGGAAGGGAAAAAACTTAAGAAAAGGTGGGCGTAAGGAATACTTCATTTTGAGATTGAGCCTTTAATAGATGGCATTTAACGTACTTAGGTATGCTGTATTTAATCTCGATGGATCTCTGGCGGAATTGAAAGGATTTGAGGTGAAACGCCGCGGCGAACTAAATATCATCAAGCACTTCCAGTCAGCGGTTTTCAAGGCTTTCCTTCGTGGGTCCAGTTTAGCAGAAGTTTGTCACTTTTCATTGCCTTTGATCTTATTCGGTTACTATTTTTGCTGTCACTAGGTGTACGAAAGCGCTTCGCGTGAAGCTAATTATTGGCTTGATGTTCTCTTCACAAAAGGTGGTGAATTGACTGAGCTTGAGCTATTTGATCTCATTTCTGAAAATAGAAGTATGTCAAGAAAACTGGAAGATTACGGAGGCCAGAAAAGTACAAGCATCAGTACTGCCAGGCGACTAGCTGAGTTTCTTGGTACTGACATGGTTAAGGTTGGTTTTACTGTAAGTCTTATCTTTTCTCTCATCCTGAAGGTTTTCTTTCAGGATGCTGGTCTTGCTTGCAAATTTGTTATATCTCGTCATCCTCTAGGTTCACCTGTAACAGAGCGTGCTGTTCCTATTGCTATATTCCAGGTATTTAAACCTTCAGCAACTTAGTTCTTTTTTAAGGGCGCGTGTAGCGCAGCGGTCAGTGGCGTTTTGCAAATCACAGTGGGATCGATCACCGCGCCCCCGGCCCCCTAATCACTTCACCCACCGAGGTGAGTAAATTGGCACCAGACTTGTCCAGGAGGATAGGAGCGCCAGCTCGATACATTGATGGGCCACGGCGAGTCATTTTAAAGGCCCGATATGCATTCAATCACTTTCAGCGATGCTTAATAAAATCGTATGCATAACACATCTCTCAGGGATTGATCAACGCTGAGAGCTTTATCCTTTCTTTAGGTTTTTAACTTAAGTAGGAATGTTTAGGCTGAGGATAAGGTGAAATTTCATTACCTGAAGCTGTGGACAAAGCAGCCCAGTTTATCTATGGATAAGATGAACATAAAAGAAGTACGTCCCTTTTCTTTGTAGGGTGTATTGATGTCTACTGCAAAGCTTTACTAAAGCATAAGCCCATGTTTTTCAGTTACTGGATTGGGACTATTACATTGAAAGGCTTGGAAGTTGTATACAAAAAATTATTACTATACCGGCAGCTTTGCAAGGATTGCCCAACCCTGTTCCCCGGATACCTCATCCTGATTGGCTTGCCAACAAACTGAAGAATCGGTAGTCTGTCCATTTTTGCTTTCTAATGGCCTCACTTTTGTATATTTTCTGTATTAAGCGTTGACATTCTTCACCAGCCAAGAATCACTGACATATTTCAAAAGAAGCCGCTGGACGAGTTGAATCTTTTGGTGAATGAACACAGAAAACGTTTTCGAGAAGATGAGAGTGTGGAGTCCGCTGATATCGGAAGTGAGAAGAAAGAGAACAATTCAAAGAAGCAATGCCCGCTTCCGAAAGTGAGCTGTGAATTTAAATGCAAATGTAATTTTAGTAATATAAAACCTGTCATTGGTCACTAGATCTAGACCTCAAATTTAGTCTTAATCTGAGTAGACTTGGTTTTATAAAAATGTAGAAAATAAAATAACTGGAATAGGCATGTTATGGTGTTTCCTGGTATTGGTTTACTCTTAGTTGGGCTTCCTGATGGAAACGTTGAACTCATTGGCTTGGAGGACCTTGGAGGGGAGATGAATCCCCACTGCACCTCGCAGCGCGACACCCAGAGATACCTCGCAGTCACGATGAGACGTTAAACTGTTGAGAGAGCACGTTATGGTAATTTCTCAAAATGATTTCTATCATTTTGAAGGCAACGTCTAGCCGAATTGAGAAAAGAACATTGATGCAACATGGCTTCGATGAATGGCTAAAGTTCCTTAAATTGAAGTGGCGATTACTTAAAGTGTCTTGTGGAAACAGGAAAAAAGAATCAGGTAGGGATACTGTATCTTATTTATTTCTTCTTTTTGCGTCGATGTGCTATCCATTTCATCTTAGGGCCTACTATGGTCGAACGAATGATATCGCATACTCGGGAAACAATACGTGATAGAACTTGGCAGGTACGATCGGTTTTTTCTGAGAATCGGTTTTAGTGGTGAAAGGACACGCAATGTGTTTATTGGTATTAATTTTATCCTCTACCTGTTATTATCAAAATATAGGTATTATCGATAGAGGAAACAAAGACACCAGGAATTTACAATTTGTGGGTAGCGCTGGAAGGCCGAATGGATAGGTTCCAGTTGAGGGTTCCTCGGATGGTACTAATAAATGAAAAAGTGAGTAAAAAAATACGAAGTGAGTTTTTTTCACGTATCATGTCTACATGCGAGTGTAGTGCATTGTCGGAAGCGCCATGCAATAAAGATTGGATCGATCACCACACCCAAGGCTCACCAAGTCTTCTATCATTCCGGAGTCAGCAAATTGCTACCACACTTGTCTGAGAGGATAGCAGCACTAGCTCTATACATCGGTAGGCAACCGCGAGTCATTTTAGAGATCAGATATGCATTCAATCAACTCCGGTGATGCCTAATGAAGTTTAATGCATGGTACATCCCACAGGGAGTGATCAACACCAAGAGCTTTATACTTTCTTTTTATCCATCTCTACATACTCCTTTACAGTAAAAGTCCTATTTAGGAGCCTGTTGAAAATAAGGAGGTCGTTCGACGAGTGCTTCCTCATCACAAGCCAGTTCACTATTTGTATGAGTACTGTATAAGTGGGGTCTGGTTTTTATTCTTATGTTATCCTCATATATCTGTGATTTCGACTACTACATGGTGTTTTTCTTTTTAGAGTGTAGAGCAAAGACTTTTGGATGAAATTAACGAAAAACTGTGCAGTTCACGTGTCGAGGGAATCTATGAGTCTCAAGTCCCACTAATTTTTCGAGCAGTTTCTCAAATTGGGTGCCTTTGCCGCCCTCTCGCTCCCCCGCTTAGTGGAGTTTATTCGCTAGAGGTTTCTTTTGCATCGTTGTTCTTTTTCCTTGTTTCCTTTCAAAAACCAGTTCTGGTTTGCATAGAATTGTAACCTTCTATGCGATCTATTTAGACTCTCAAAATGATTCCTATGTCATCTAGTGAATCATACCTACCCAGGGATTTTGTGCGAGTGGTGTTCGTTTACAAGTTTTCCCAGGTTTGGCAGTACCTGTTCTTCGATGGAAAGTTTCAGTCCTCTCTCCCAAGTTGTAATCTAAATGTAAAGTTTAAGGATAGTCGAGAAGTATGGGCAGTGATTGACGAAGGGGCCTCGGCAGGGTCATTTTTTATCGTTCAAAGGGGAGAAGTGGCAATGCCAAATATGGACAAGATATACACTCAAATATATGAGCAGGAGTAGGTATTTTTCTTACTGTAGGAAGTGCTAAAGATATTTTTTATCTAAATGTTTTAGGAAAGAGCAACTGGAATCAATAAGTCACATAAGTGCGGCGATCAAATTCACCACGCGTCATTTTCGCCTAGCTACTGAAGCTGAGAAAGAGATTAATAGGGTTGATCTGTTCTATGACAACGCGTTTTTGTTGTTTCATAATGGCTTTATTTTAGGTGATTCGAATATGTCGAGAAGTCAGTCCCAAGCCAACGTTGTTGGCCACGCTCACTGACGAAGAGCCACGGCAAATAGCGAGTTTTTTTTTTACTGCTTATGGCCTTTTCGTTTTGTTCCCGATTGTCTTAAAGTTGTTTAAAATAATTTAAAAGAAAAAAAATTTTGTAGAGATACTCATATCTGTAGGACCCATGTAGCGCATTGGTCGGGGCGCCCTGCAACTCACACACATGGGATGGATCTCCGTGTGTCTGGCCCACCGAGCCTTCCATCTCTTCGGGGTCGACAAATTGGTACCGGGCTTGTCTGAGAGGATAGCAGCACTGGCGGGATACCTCGGTCACCACTCATTGTAAAGGCCAGATATGCACTCAGTCACCTCCAACAATGCTTAGTGAAGTCGGATGCATGAAGCATCCTTCAGAGACCTCCGAGAGCTTTATCCCTTTTACTCATATCTGTGTAGATGAAACGATGCAGATCCTGTGTCGGTCCATCATATTAGCTTTTTTGGATGTGTCCACGTTTCATTTTTATCGATAACACTATCGGTCATCATAAGATTTTTGCAGGCAAAACGAGTAGTTAATCTTTCGCTATTCCCTCATGTACGGATATCTGTTCAAGAGCCAAGTTCTTTATTGAACGTGATGGAATGGCAAAGAGTGATCGCAAAGCGAATATGCAAGCATTTCTTTAACAGTTTCATATATATGAAGGTCAGTAAAATTTCACGACATTGTTGTTTCTATGCTACTGTTGGACCTCGTTATTGTTATCTCTTATTCTGCTCATCTCGCATTCAGTCGTTTCCATTTCTGCTGTGGTGACATGTTCGCATTAGAATGTGTTCAGGAAATAGTCCTTCATTGAGGCGAACAAAATCGGCAAGCCACTTAATACATGGACCTATTCGAGGCCACTTTTTTTTCACTGGGACATGCTCGAATGTTATTCTCCTTCCTGTACTCTTCTTCTTCATCTTCTTTTGCATAGTGCTACAGGTCCAGTGGTCTTTGGGGAAAGAGGAAACTCGTATACTTCTATAAGTAATGTGAGATATCTCTTGGAAAGTGAAATGGTGGCATTTGTCGTTGGAGATGACTCTCTAGCGATTCTGTCCCGCCAGCGCAGCGCAAGTCGGAACTGGGGGCAGTTCTTAGGAACTTCACTATGCTATTTACTTATTGCTCTTGGTCGTTGTTATCTTCGCTGAACTCACCAGATGTGTATGAACGACTTCCACTATCTATTTGTTCATTAACTATCATTGGTCGCTGAGAATTGAGAATACTCGGAGACCACCCTTGAGAAAACATTGAGAACCATGTATACTTCGGGTTTCCTAGCACATTTTGCATTTATTTGTAAACGTTGAAAATATTAGGTAGGGAAGATTATATGCGCCCTTGTTTTTCACTCTTAAACAAGCACAGGAATAAAGGATTCCCTTGGCGAATTTTCTTTTAGAGGTTTTTCAATCGATTAGCACTTAGCGAGGTTATGGTGCAAAATTGTTTGCGTCGAACAGTTTTGTCGTGCTCGAAGTGTTTCTATCTTTTATTTGAAGATACTCTAGAAAAGTGGTTAGAGGCGCCTCTGCGACACACACGTGGAATCGATCCCGGAGCCAATGGCCCACCAAGCCTTCCATCCCTCCGGGGTCGGCAAATTGTTACCAGCATGTCTGGGAGGATAGCAACACTGGTTCGATACATTGGTAGACACCACAAGTCATTGTAAAGGCCAGATATGCATTCAGTCACCTCCAACGATACTTAGTGAAGTCGAATGCATGGTGCATCGCTCAGGGATTGATCAACGCCGAGAGCTTTATCCTTTATCCTTTTTTACTCTAGAAACGCTTCTTTCGTTCCTACGTTTCCTTTTATACATAGTGGAACTTTGAGCTCATTTTTTTTGTAGGTTTTCATAGCGTTTTATTTTTTTAAAATTTAATGTGAAAATAGGGTTTTTAAGACATTGTTCTGTTATCGGTTTACCAAGTGATCCATTTTAGGACTATGCTGATTGGGCTCGATATCTCCATGCCCCTATTGGGAGTGTACCTAACGACGCTGGCATTTTCGGTTTAGATCTGTTCTTTGCGAGAAATCTGCAGCGAGCCGGACACGTTCTATGGGCTTCACCATCAAGTCGACCAGATCTCGGTGGCAAAGTGGATCTTAAGAATCTCACTCTTCGAGTTCGCATCGCACTGGTTAGAGTAATGGAAACGTTTTTAGGAATTGGACGATCTTCGCTTATGCTCAGATTGGAAACCACTGAGCAAGGACGAAACTGTATTGTTGAACACACCTTCATTTTGCGATAGTTTCTGCGTAGAATTCGAACTTGAGGCTGTTGCGGTGAGCTTTGATATAGATAGGTACCAATAATATATTAGTTATTGAAATCAAAATGAAGTAGTTCTACTTACTACTTCTACTTGGATACCTAGATGGTCCGTCTTCATAGGTTGTACGGGCCTCAGCATAATTTCCACTTTTTCGGAGTTTCGTTAGCTTAGCTTCTGTGGTTCCTTGAAGTTCCACGGTTAGCCTGGCCAAAGTCTGCTCCAGGTCGTCCCTACCACAGGCAGTCGCCGCTCTTATGGATCAGAGGGAGATTTCCCACCATGCGAATAGTTTTATCCCACGTCGATGGTAAATCCTATTATTGGTTTACTCTTAGCTGTTTTTCCTACTGGAACTCAGTTTGGGAGTCTCTCCTGGGGGACGAATTCCTCCGCTGTACATCGCAGCCCAACATCTGGGAACACCTAGCGACGATGAAGCAGTGAACTGTTGGAGGGAATAATTCAATTTATATAATTTATTCATGTTTTTTCAATTACTTATTTATTTTCAAGATAAGATGAAATTCTTTACCCCAATACACTTCACCTTCACTCGCTATCTAGATTTACATGCTTTATTTAAGTCGTCAACTTTTACCACTATATTTTTGTACTAGCAAACAGCAGAGACAATACAGCTTACTGCATTGGTGCAACGAGGTCGTTTGTTGGACGCAGAAGGAACTGACGATGCTGTTGCATTCGACTCTACAGTTGTATTACTATCCGATGTATATAGTGGTTTGCGGTTAGTCATCAAAATAGAAGAAAAAATCTAAAGCCTAAAAGTGCCAAGCGGCGTTGAAGTGCTAGGTATATTTAGATAATGAGACGAGTCAAAGTTTAACAGATTTTCATCTAGAATTACTTCACAATGTACCCTGTTTCATTGATAAGCTACCACAAGATCAGCAATATTCATTAGGCTAACGTTTCGACGTCTTCATCCTCCTCAGAGCCGATAATCCGGCAACGGCAATGGACATCGACTCATTGACTCGGATCATCGGCTCTGAGGAAGACGAAGACGTCGGAACGTTATCCCAATAAATATTGATAACAGCGTCGTGTTAGCTGATCGGTGGAGCAAGGTACATTGATCATTTATACCGAGGTTAAATAAAAATCGGTTTACAATGGTACTTCAAAATGTGTTTCCTGCCGCATTGTTTAGAAATACAATATCGGCTTTCGACGAAGGCGCGGCTGTTGATGCTGCATTGAAAATTCTGAAGCATATGTTAATGGAATGTGTCCGGGATATCGCTCACAGTGCGAACAAGCGAGCTGATCAAGTCGTTATGTCGCTTAGAAGGTGGGTATCAAATTTGCGAGGAATTATTCCCTATCTATACTACTTTTTCTCTGACAATATTTTTACCAATTGTGCAAACTGAAAGTTTAATTGCGTGAGTCATCAGCAGACATAAGCGGACACCCATAAGGTGTTGGTCGACCTTCCTCATCGAGCATAGAGTTTCCCAGCTCATCTCTTTTACGACATTACAGGCCATATAAATATCCAAGTATATGTGAAGCAGTGGAAGGTCTTTGCGTACTGTATTACTTGATTCAAACCCTGATTCATTCCAGGTGGCTCCACTCCCCAAATTCGCTTCTGTATGACTCAGCCATTACGCGGAGCATAACAATTTTAGAAAAAAAACTTGTTTTGTTGCTAGTAGCAGAATGCGAACGACTAGGATCGAAGGTATGAGTCCTGATTTCTGAGGGTAAATATTTTTTGTTTCATATTCTTTAAAAACACCAGGTCCTTCACGCTGCACCGGCACGATTAGTTTTGGATACTGGTAAATGCGATAGAGAGCAAGGTGCTGCATTCACAGATTTGCTACTGCAGTCACTTGGTCAAAACCCGCTATTTGCTGCATTACATATGAGACCTATTCATAGATGGAGCACATTACTGTGGTATGACGCCTACAATCATACTGGTGTGTTTTGGTCTTATCTGCCTTTGTAATTCGAAGGTCAGAACGTTATGTGAAATGTAACCATAATGATCGGCTGATAGAAAGGCAAAACGAAAGATTGGCATGGTGTGGTGGTGAACGCATTAACCCCCGTAAAGGGTAATAGCGCGTTCGTCCTCAACACACCAGCGATCCGCAGTTTTGCAAATATTTCAGCATCATTGTGGTTATATTTTACATAATATACTGCCATTAAAAAGGAATAGGCAGTAAATAGAAGGTGAATATATTGTGATCGGAACTCTGCTGTTGTGCCGTATTTAGGTATATGCGACAGAGTAGTGGGTTGTACTGATATGGATAACTCAGATTCTGCACAAAATAAAGTGGAAACTCTAGTGAGTTGAAGACTATTGGTTTGCGTGTCTATGACTTCATTTAGAGTAGTTCAACTATACATTACTCTCAGTTACTTACATTTCGGTCCATATTCAGCATCACTGGCGGTTAGCCGATGATCTTCCAATTGACGGAGCCGTCCGGGAAGAGTTTCGTAAGATAGTAAGCGGTTATGTAATGTTGTTCAAGCAACAAATGGATAGCGCGGTAGGTAACATTATTTTATAGTTAGCCTACCAGCTGAGTCGTTATGGTGTTTTCAGAATCTCGATACAGACTCAGCTGCTGCGTTTCGTAATGATCTCGTTAAAACCCACATTGGACATCGTCTCTTCCGAGTTGTTTCGAAATTAGCTGGTCACCGTGTGACTCACTTTGCTGCTAGTAAACTAGTAAACGCGGTCAGTGCATTTCAATGGTTTGTTGCAAATTAATTTCTAATTTTTATCACTATTTCGTTCTCCTCCGAACGGATTTACTGCCTAATCGTGACTTGGAAGTATTCCTGGATGTCGGGCTGCGATGTACAGCGGCGTATTCACTCCTCTGGCAGCGTCTCTCCGGAAGAGGAATCCGGCGTTTCTTTTCAGGAAGCCCAGCCAAGAGTAAATCAATACCAGGATCCACCACCATCCTGATACCAAACTAGTCGCATGGTCGCAAATCTTCCTGTGATCCACGAGGGCGGCGACTGCTTGCGGTAGTGATGACCTAGAGCACACTTTTGCTAGGTTGACTTCGGGGCTACAGGAAACTATAGTAGTTAAGCCAGCAAAGCTCCGAAAAATGGGATTTATTCTGGGCCAGCGCAATTAGACGAGCCATCGAAGTGTCCGAGTAAGTGTTCCATTTTGATTACACTCGTTTATTTCCATTCGATTGTTTGATAAGAATTTGAATAAAACTTGAGTCGTTCATTAAGAATACTGGTGTACTCTTACGTTATTTCAGATCTACAAGGCATTGTCGTGCGATTCAGCAGTAGAAGACAGCGTGGAAAATCTCCGCGAGAATCTTTATCGAATTTTGGATACTACAGAGTTGCCGCACCCCAAAAATACTATATACCTACCGAACATATTTTGTAATGACTGTTCTCTTGCAACGACTTTAGATGTAGGAGACAAAACGTCGTGGACATGCAAAGAGTGTGGACAGGTATTAATTTAAATACATAGATAACCCATCTTCATGTTTCATACAAGTTCTAGCACTTCCACTCGTTTCGTTCTTTTGCAACCGTTATCCACGGAGGTGATCGTATTCGTGTGGCTGCGGCTGCCGTTTGAGGATCCGAAATATGACATCAGCTGTGAGCATAGCTGGTTTACTCACCTAACGAAAACATAGGACCATTTGTTTGGTGGTTTTCTTAGAGATCGTTTTGATTGTCTCAGGATACAGTCTATTGCTTTCTTCTTCCATCTGTCGTCTTCTCTTTCCAATGTGACCGGACCAACAGTACCAGTATTCACTCATTGAGACGTATTCTGCTGGGGCTCGCCAATAGGATATTTACAGAAGATCCGAACACCAAAAAAAGGCTTCGTGTTCAGAGTGCAGATCCATCCACAGAAGGCATGACATCGAGTGCCCTGTGTATTGTGTGTAAATGCTTCGACATAGGTGAAGTATGGACTTATGTTTCCATTTTTTCCCGGATTGATGTGCTCTTTACCGACCGCAGAGAGATAGAGACGTGCATTGGCCCAAGCGCGGCTTCGAACCAACGACAATGGGTGTATTAGTTCATGGCATCTCTAACCACTACGCTTTCCCTCCTGGGTTCACCTTGTGCTTTGATGAAACTTTTCCTCATATTTTAATCAAGTCCACTTTTAGTTGTTCCTGAAGTCTTACATTGATGAAATGATTGCTGAGCGAGTAAACACGTTGCTGACGGCGTTTCTTCTCCAAGACCACATTTGTAGTAAATGTAAATTGGTGGGTGTCTTTACAGCAGGTTTTGATATTCGACGAAAACATACTTTCAACGTATGTACTTTAGATCAGACAAGACAATCTGTCAAAGTATTGCGAGTGTTCTGGTACGTTCGTAAATGTCATATCTGCCGATGAATTTCTTCGAGATATGCGAACAGCTGGTGAAATTGGAGAGGAATTTGAGCTACCTATGACGGTCGAAGTTAGTCGGTGGATAATAGCAGGGATAAATTTGGATGTTTAAAAATGGGTTAAACTTAACTGTATGTCAGTCTAAAATAATACAACTTGTGTAATTGTAGCTTGTAATATTAACAAGTAGGACACGAATAATTAATTTCTGCTCTAAGCATGATCATTTAGTAATATAAACGTGCGGAATCATTGTAAAATATGATATTTGCCATTAAGCATTAGCTGAATGTTGACTATGAAGCGACCATATTCCTTTGTTGGAAAAATTCGTATATATTTAGAAAAGTTCATTTATATAGTTCTTACATCACTGTACTATAAAAATACCCATGGATCAATACTTTAAATTGTGATAAAATGAATTCTTGTTTAGATTTTTCTATGAGAACAGCTCATTATATTCTCATATAGGCAGTTAGTTAACGTTAGATAATAAATAATATCATAGTCATCGAAGAGCGGAGCATCGAATAGTGCAAACAGTAAGGCTTCTGTGCCACGAAACTTCATCACTTGAGCAATTCTTTCACCTGAGAAAAACGATTTAAAGTTCATGTGAATGTAACACTGAACGGGAACTATGGAAGAAAACGCAATGTAATTGCTTTTTATCTACTGCCCATTCTTCTTTCAAGGCAGGGTGTGCTGTGAAATAGTTCACGAAGTACAGAAAAAGGTAAAGAAAAAGAAGTAGGAAAGCAAAGAAAGTAAAGAAATAGAAGTGACTTACATCATGCCGTTCCATTGCGAAAGAGTAGGCAGTAAATAAAAAGTGATTACATTGTGATTTATACTACAGATTCAGCTTAACTACGTTCATTGTCGATTTGTGATTTTCAGATCAATCTGTTGACTTGGTGACGGCTGATAGCGCCCACAGGTTAGAACACGGTTGAGAGAAAGGCGAAACAAAAGACCCGCATGGCGTGGTGGAGAACTCGTTAACTCTCAGGAAGGGAAATAGTGGGTTTGATCCCCACCGCAGACACCTGACACGCAGATTTACACATAACTCAGTGCATTGCTCTCCAATGCTAACTTAACAAACAGCTTATTCCGGCAGAATAGAAAACATGAATATGAGGAAGAGCATTGGCAAAAGATTCATAGCAAGGGAAAAATAAAAATACCAGGAAGCATGAGAGCAAAAAGTGACACAGAAAGCATTTCATTTTTACTTAAATAAATCCCGTTGACGCGTGATTAATGATAGCACCTACAGGTTAGAATACGACTAAGAGAATGGAGAAACGAAGGGCCTGCGTGGTGAGGTGGTGAACGTGATAACCCCCGGAAACGGTAATAGCGCGTTCGTTTCCCACCGCTGACACCTGCGGTTCGGAGTTTTGCAAATATCTCAGCGTTATCGTAGAAAATGCAATTATGAAAGACTGTGAACTATATGAAAGACGGATCTAAATCTTTGATTTGTTCACTTAGATGCCCCGGCAAAATTCCCACTTGATTGGTATGTTGGCTGGTTGAAATGGCTTTCTTCAAGAAGTTTCCTTGAAGTGTGGGTGAGATATCCGTGACATCGGAGCACCACTAGTCACCTTGTTGGTATACTCGTTGTAAAGTTTATCGATGGCAATGTCAACTCAGCTTGTATGAAACCGTCAAAGGAAAAGCTTGATTTCCTAGATTTCTAAAACGCCTACTTGTTCAACAGATTTGAAACCAATATCCTCGTAAGCATTAAATGGGTCTTCTAGTTTTCGTACAACTACTGCATAGGCTGCCGCTACATTATCGGCCGTCCGTTGTTGGACGGTTTCCCTAAACAAATATTTGTGAGGAATTCCAAAAACATTCGTTTTCTACTTTCTAAAGAAAAGTACTCCTACCTTGCACGGGCACTGCTGATCTTAGAAACCTGATCCAATTCGTACTTGTCTGGCTGTGCCAGAAATACATCAAACTGTGCAAAAATACGGCTAACAGTGGCAGAGTCCATACCGGCTATGAGAGAAAGTGGTCCCTATGATTGAACAGTTTCCTTGTTTAAAACAATTAAACTCCACATTAGTAAGATTCTAAGAACATTTTTTCGGCACCTGGTTTCGATCATGAGCAGCAGCTTTCTGATAAAGGGTAATAAAACCAGTATTTGCTAAAATGGTCGAAGCTTCTTCCGATACCAAAACATCCTCATTTCCCTCCATCTGAACCCAAGAAGTTGAACTATGCTAAATCAAGTTCACGGAAGAGTGTAGAAGGGGAACGAAGTTACCAAAGCTTTAATCATTTCTAATCGAGAGTCCGTAAATGGATAGAGGATAACCACCGAATAAACTGCTGTTAGACAATTCAACGTATAGACGGCGACATCTGGACGTATTCACTATAAAAATACGGTGAGTAATAAGTATAGTGGGGAATTTACTTACCTAGTGGTGAATGTAGATGAGTAGCGGCAACTTGAACTGATCTGCACAGAGGGTCCAACACACAACCGAAAATCTGGAAGAAAAAGAAATGAATTTGAGGATGAAATTCCTCTCTGTAGAAGAATATAATGAATACTTTATTGAACTCCTCTTCTGAATTCTTCCGTCCGACCATAGCGCCGTCGTGAGTTTCCAGCACATCTCTGAATTACGAAAAAATAAGCCGCAGAATAAAATTTTTCACAAAAATGATTTTGAGCATAATTGAAGAAAACAACCTTAACAGCATGAGAATCTGGTGCACAGCAGGCACAGGAAGCAGATCGTAGTCCGGTGCAGTCATCTGTAACCAAGAGAATTTACGAACGATACTTCTCCCGAAATAAAGTGTCAGATTGAATCAAAAAGGCAAAACTAACGGAGAAAACAGTTAAGCGATTAGACAACACATTACACTAACCCTTGATAAGATCTTCTGTACAGCAGCACTGAGGCCACTATAGAAGATGTGCAGCGTGAGTTGGTTCAATTCTTCAATAGTACATGCTAGTTCCGAATCCACTCCAATCTCTGGACTATAATAAAAGCTTTACCAAGAATAATTGGATACTCGGACAGCCCGTCCTAACTGGCTGTGCGGGCCCTAGCAAAATTTCCATTTCTCTGAGTTTTGCTGGTTTAGCCATTGTGTTTCCATGGAATCCCAAGGTCAGCGTAACCAAATTCTACCCCAGGCCTTCAACCCCACAGGCAGTCGCAGCCCTTGTGGATCAGAGGGAGATTTGTCACTATGTAACTAATTTGATACCAGGACGGTGGTAGATCCTGGTTATCAGCAGGACTAATACAATTTAAACAGTAATATGAAAAACGAACATCATTTTCTCCGAGTAGAAAGCGAAAAGTGCAGAAATACGAAATAGCACGACTGAGTCGGTTTCACCAGCAAGCGCTTGCTCCACCCGCAGCTGTAAAGATTAAGAATTAGAGACGTAGATACATAACCGGTCTAAAGAAAAAATAAGTGCAGAGTAAGGTTTAATGAATGCCAAAAAGTTAATAACAGACCTAACCCTTTTATTTACTGCCTTTTTCTTTTTAATGGCAGGGTATGCTGTGGAATATAACTCGTATATAATGCTGAGATATTTGCAAAACTCCGGACCGCAGGTGTATGCGGTGGGGAACGAACGCGCTCTATTGTCCATTCCGGGGAGTAGCGCACTTCACCACCACACCATCCGGGTCCTTCGTTCTGCCTATCTCTCAGCTAGTTCTACTGACCTTTTGCCAGCAGCATTATATACGAGTTAATAACAGAGTTGAGTGTCTGCGAAAAAACTTCCAATGGAGTTGTCACAATCGTTTTACAATGGATAGAGAAAAGCTACGCATATCCTCCAACAGAAAATAACTTTAGTGGTTTCTAGAAGTCTAAAAAATTGGCTGCTTTTGAAATATTGAAGCCTTAAATCTATCGAACGACGAAATAAAGCATAAAGGTCAAAGTTCTGGGCGTTCATCAATCCCTGAGGGATGCGCCATGCATTCGACTTCATTAAGCATCGTTGGAGCAGACTGCATGCATACCTGGTCTTTACAATGACTCGCCGTGGCCTACCGATGTATCGAGTCAGACTGCTATTCTCTTCTACAAGTTTTGTACCAGTGTACTGACCCTAGAGAGATGAAAAACTTGGTTGACCTGGGCGCGGGGATCGATCTCATGTGTATTGCAGGGCACCTCCGACCATAGCGGTACACGTGCCCTTGACATTGAAATATAAAGGAAAATTGTATGTTTTCGTCAATGTGTACTACTCACTAACGAGTAATACTAACAACATACCTTGAAGGGGCGACAGAGAGCGCTGGATATTTTCGAAAGCAGACCAATGGAATTATCTCGAGTTACTAAATAGACACGAAAATAAACAATCATTAATATAAATAGTCTTGTTCTAAAACGAAACAGACAACCTTGAGGACTGCAGTCCTTAAACAGCATCTGGATCAGTTCACGTTCGCTCTCAATCGATTCATATATCCAGGCCAGCATGTCTCCGATGTATCTGCAGTAATGGTACCATAACAAAACTGTGCAATACAATGGAAGAGCAGGAAAACATTAACAGTACCTAAGAGGATCATGACTCATTAACTCAATTGGCTTGCCATTACTGTAGGTGCCTTTTGTAAGAGCATCTATATATAGGTGAAGAATTTGATTTTTTCGAGCCATTCCCACCTCATCTGAAAAAAGCACAGATTAAGGGGAAGCTCAGTTATAAAATAAAGGATAAAGTTCTCGCCGCTGATCAATCCCTAAGGGATGTGCCATGCATCCGACTTCATTGAGCATCGTTGGAATTGATTTAATGCATATGTGGCTCATAAAATGACTCGTGATGACCTACCGACGTATCGAATCAGTGCTGCTATCCACCAAGACAAGTCTGATGCCAATTTTCAGACTCCGGAGGGATAGAAAGCTTGGTGAGCCAGGGGCACAGGATCGATACGATATGTACTGGAGAGCGCCTCTAACCACTGAGCTACACGCTTCCCCTTGGAGTTCAGTTATTGCATCGAAATACTTAACTAACCTATCGCATATTTTAGTAATACTTCTCTTTCTTCTAGAGCTGCAAAAGATTGACATAGCACGGCTTTCATTTCAACATAATCCGCACTCAAAGTTCGACATTCTCCTGAAAGTCTTCGACACATAGGTGAATCCGAAAACTCATGGAAAGCTCATATTACACAGAATGACACCATTCCCTTAAGAAACCCTAATGCAGAAAATCTTCGTCAAGCACTTACTTTGAACACTTCTGTATAGAACTTCATAGGCTTTTTCCAAAGTTTGTGACATCTCCTCCATAATTTCAACGCTACAATTGCGCTTTGTAATGTACCGAACCAAAGTAGAGTAACTGAAGTAATTCTTCGGTAAACTTACGCAGCTGAATGTTCCCCATTGCTACGAAGCAATTCCTTACTGTCGACATAAATGTTTTGAGCTCGAGCAAGTGCCGGAAAGAAATCGCTAGAAATTGTGCCATCTAAACATGGCATATACAACAACGACACTAAGATATTTGCATAACTCCAGACCTCAGGTGTCTGCGGTGGGGATCGAATACGGTATTACTCTTATCGGGGGCTAAGGCGTTCACTGTCACACCATGCGAGTCCTTCCTTTCGCCTTTCTCCCAATCATGTTATTGACCTATGGGTGCTATTCAGTAACCACCCGTCAACGTGATTAACCTGGGTAGCACAAGTCGGCATTGAAGCCAGTTGTGCTATAGCTGTAGTATAAGTCACAGCGTAATCACTTTTAATAATGAAGTGTAATGTAATCTTTACAGCCTCATCGTGGCTGAGAGGTGTCCCTGGGTGTCGGGCTGCAATGTACAGCGGAAGGATTCATCCCTCCGGCGGGGTGTCCCAAGCTGAGGAGTCTGGCGCTTCCATACAGATGCCCACTTAGGAGTAAACCAATACCAGGATCCACAACCGTCCTCGTATCAGAGTCGCATGGCGGCAAATCTCCACCTGATCAACAAGGGCCTGTGGTGGTGACGACTTAGGCCAAACTTTGGCTAGGCTGACTTCGGGACTTCAGGGAAACACGATGGGGTAACCAGCAAAACTCCGAAAAATTGGAAGCTATGTTGGGCACGCATAACCAGTGAGGACGAGCTGTCCAAATATCCAAGTAAGTGAGTAATGTAATAAAAAGTGATTGCAGTATCTACAGTTGTCACTACGATGTCACCATCGTGAACAGTACGGTGCAGCTAAGCTAACTAAAGAAGTATTTAAACGAACAAATGAAACAGTTGTAATGAAAATGACCATTCGGGTTCCCTTCTAGTGCTTTCCTCTCCAAATCTGTCAAGGAATACTTTCCAAGGAAGTCATCAATGGCTTTCTGCTTAGCTTCCAAATGTCTCCTGGAATTACAAAACCAGACCCTCAAGTGAATAAAGAGTCCAAGGGAAAATATTATTCAACCAACTTCTGGTTTTGAAGGGCGCTAGTTTTGCTAAGAAGATCCTGAGTCTTTTCCTTATTTTGCTGTATGCGATTGGTTAGATCAGCGCATATTCGATGCATTGTGCGAACTTTATCCGCAAAGTCCTGGACATGCGCATTCACCTAAAGACATTAAAGCTTATCAATACATAATCTTAACTTTTTAGTTACTGTCTACAATTTTCACGACAGATTATTATATGAAATAGAACGCTAAAGATGATGAGATATTTGCAAAACTCCGGACTGCAGGTTTCTGCGGTGGGGATCGAGTCCACTATTACTCTTTCCGGTGGCTAACGCATTCACCACCACACCATGCGGGTCCATAGTTTCCCTTATCTCTCAGCTAATTTTGTATCTAACAGTGTCACCAGCGATCATCCGTCAACAATTCCCGAAATTCGGAAATAGAGATTAAAATTATACAACCTTCTCAAACTCTTGGAGGTATTCCTGGTTCAATTCCAGTTGCCGCTTTTCTAAACTTCGAACGAGACGACGTTCGGTGTGTATATCGAGATCTCCAACCATAGGAGCAACGTAATCGACAACTTTCAGGAATTCCTTAAATATGAAAGAACAAAATAATGAATAAAAGGATGAAAAAGCCAAGTTTTATGCAGGTGTATTAAGGGAGTACACTGAAAATGTTTCCGTTACAGGTGGTTATATTCCTTAGCAGAAATAGACGACAGTTTCCTGATATAGAGGTAAGTATCATGACGAAGCATGGTTTCCTATACCTGCGACGTCTTGGTAACTATGGACTGTTTGACCTAGTTCACATAAAAGGATAAAAGGATAAAGCTCTCAGTGCCGATCAAACCATGAAACATGCGCCATGCATTTGACTTCATAAAACATCGTTGAAGATGACTGAATACATATATGACCTTTACAATGATTCGAGTTGGCCTATCGATATATCAAGCAAGTGCTGCTATCCTCCCAGACAAGTCTAGTACCTAGTTGTCGATCTCGGAGCAATGGAAGGCTTAGTGAGCCATGGGCGCGGGGATCGATTCCACGTGTGTTGCAGGGTGCCTCCGACCACTGCACCACACGTGCCCTTTCTAGTTCACATAATGTGATTTAAAATCCTGTCTAAGCTGTACCCGAGCTTATCTAACGTTGCATACAAAGCACAAACTTACAGGATCATTGTGGAGCTTGCTAGAGATAAGTTTGTCGATCCTTCTCCTGATTGGATTCGTTGTTGTAGCACTGCTGTTTGCAGTATGAGCTGGTGGTGGCCCTTCTACGACTGGATCACCAACTTCTTCTTCCATGTAAGGTTCTGGATAATAATAAAAATGTAAAACATGTACACACAAAATACATATATGTAAAATGTGAGGACCCCCACGTCACCTACGATGTGGACGCAATTTTCCGTTTTGCGACCCATCTGGAAAGAAGACGACGTCGTGTTCGGGAATTACTTGGATAATTGGATGGCCCGTCTTCACTTGTTTTGGGGACCCCGGGGTAAGTTCGATCTTTTTTCGGGGTTTTGCTGATTTAGCCGTTGTCGTTCCCTGTAGTTCAGCCTAGCCCAAACCCTTCCTAGTCCAGGAATTGCTGAGGGAAATCTGTGCTGAAGTGTATAACTAAGGTCTTACTAATGTAACGATTCCTAAAGAAACTCTAATGGTAAAAGAATTGCATAGGTGTACTTGGTTAGATATCCACTCTTTCTTCCATCGTTTTGTTGGCCGCTTCTCATTTTCAGCTTTTCGCCTTCTTTACTCTACTTTTTCTCTTCCTTTCCTTCTTTTCTTCCTTCTCTTTCTTTTTCTTTCTCTAGCCTTTGCAGTAATATTGTAAAAGATCAGTATTCTGATCTATCTTCTACTGTAAGGAAGCTTTTCTTCCATTAGCAGACTTTGTTATAAAAGGAATTCCGACGGTATGGCTGGTCAAACATCTCCATTTTTCTATCAATTGTTCCTCATCCTCAACTTTTCAAACTGGTTTTTTCAGCACTTTGCAGTACTACTGGAATGAGCGGTGTCTTCATTTATGGTTCTTTCGTTGTTCTTTTGAATTACTTGTTGTAGATGGACGTTGATTATAGCGACATGTTATTCGGCTCCTGAAGTGTCCACTAGTGGAACTGAGCTAATGACCATATCTGACTTTGAGGAGTTTTTCAGACAAACAACTTGCATTTGAGGTCTTTTCAAACATGGATGTGCTCGGCACGGCGCGAGCGTATATCAAGGAGATGGTGAACATCGCCGGACCTCAAATGAAAGTCATTCTGATGGATAAAGAAACGGTAATTCATGATGTTATTCTCATTTTGGACCTAAGAATATTTTGGACAGTTCTACTCTAGAAATAATCATTTTTTAGACTACGATGGTTTCCTGTGCATTTGCCCAGTCCGAAATGATGCAGAAGGAGGTAAATCACTTTGTCAACTTAGTGCTTGTTCTCAAACTGATCTTGACTTAACCTCGTTAGTAACGGTCATTATCTTCTTGGATTGTTGAACTAACACGAGGTTGATAAAAAATGAAGGATAAAGCTCTCGGCGTTGATCACTTCCTGAGGGATGCGCGATGCATTCGATTTCACTAAGCATCGTCGGAGGTGGGTGAATGCATGTCTAGCGTTTCAATGAGTCGCGGTAGCCTACCGAAGTATCGAGTCAGTGCTGCTATCCTCCCAGACAAGTCTGGTACTAGTTTGCTGACCCCGGAGGGATGGAGGGATTGGTGAGCCGTGGGTGCAAGGGTCGATCCCATGTGTATTGCAGGGCGCCTTCGAGCACTGCTCTACACTCGTCCTGTATGAGCTTGATAAAGAGATTTATTCGACTAACGTTTCGACGTCTTCGCCTTCGTCAGAGACGGTGATCCGAGTCGATGATCTGCATCTTCGCGATGTGGACCATCCGACTGGAATCATTGGATCAGATGAACATGAAGACGTCGAAATGTTGGCCGAGTAAACATCTTTATCAACCTGGTGTTAGGTCAACAACACAAGAAGGTATTAGTGGTTGTTTTGTGGTGTTCGGCAGGTGTTATGTTTCAGGTGTACTTATTTGAGCGATTGGACTCACCTGTTCCAAGAGAATCTATAAAGTACCTGAAGTGCTTAGTATTTGTCCGACCTACCCCTGACAATGTGCAGTTGTTGTCAACGGAGCTGAGGAATCCAAAGTATGCGCAATACTATATATGTGGGTAATTAAGTACTAAGTTTGCTCAAACGTTTCTGTTGTCAGAGATTTTCGTCTTAGATTTCTCTAATATTGTTAGCAAGACTGATTTGAAAACACTGGCCGAAGCTGACGAACATGAAACAGTAGGTTTTCTCGTTTTTGTGGATTTCTGATTTGTTTTAGCTTCTTACGAAGTGATTTCCGAGCAAATACAAACTTTATTAACTGTTTCTTAATTATTAGTCCTTATCTAACTTAGTTTTAAGGACTTAACTGGGTAAGGTATCATTATGTTTCTAACTCTAAAATGGTTTTAGGTCAGAGAAGTCCATGAATTCTTTGTTGACGGAGTCACTCTCAATGCATCGCTGTTCTGCATAAATTTGAGAGATATTTATGACAGTTCTTTTACGATCACCACTTCTTCTTTCGTCCGAATCAAGCAAGCACTTGTTGCCCTTTTGTTAGGTCAGAAAAAGAAGCCAATTCTAAGGTAATAGATATTCTTACACTTTTGACCTTTCGGTGATGTCATTTACACTTTCCTTCTTTCGATTATTTCAGGTTTCATCGATCATCAGAGAATTGTAAACGACTCGCAGATGAGTTGAATCAGGCTAGTTTGGTTTCCTGGTTCTACCACGTACACTAATGTATAAAAAAATCAAGTGATAATAACGTTGCATAATGATGCTGAAATATTTGCAACACTTGGGACTGCAGGTGTCAGCGGTCGCTATCGAACCCCGCTGTTAACCTTTACCGGGGTTTACGTGTTCACCGCTACATCGTGCGGGTCCTTTGTTTAGCTTTTCTCTCAACCTTGTTTAATGAAGTAAATCTGCAGGCTTTTGGTATTGTTATGAATTTTTTAAACTATAGGTCATAAGGCGAGAAGAAGGTCTGTTTGATAACTGTAAAAGTGATACGCTGTTGTTATTGGTAGACCGCAGTGAAGACCCGGTGACTCCACTGCTCAATCAGTGGACATATGAAGCCATGGTAAGTTTTTGAGAGCTTCCCTTCTTTGCATATTCTCCATGATCCTTGGCTGGTTTGAAGTGGCTCATGAATTTGACCCTTCTACACGTTAGGATATCGGTTGTGTTTATCAGGTTCATGAACTTATTACGATCAATAACAATCGAGTTAGTGCTGCTGGCCAAAATATGGTCTTGAGTGAACTGCACGATGAATTTTATGCAAAGGTATGTATAGTTTCGGTTTTTTATCGTTTAAATGTTGAGGAGTAGTTGCTGATTTGTTCTAACTAGTTATCAGTTTGTCATCTTATTTACTTGGACACTTGGATGCCTCTTCTTCATTGGTTGTATGGGCTGCAGCATAATTTCCATTGTTTCGGAGTTTTACTGGTTTAGACATTGTGGTTCCCTGGAGCTCCGAGATCAGCCAGGCCAAAGTGTATCCCAAGTCGTCACCACCACAGGCAGTCACCGTCCTTATGGATCAGAAGGAGATTTGCCATCATGCGACTGGTTTGGTAGCAGAATGGTGGTGGATCCTGGTGTTGGCTTACTTTTAGCTGGGTTTCCTGATGGGAACACCAGACTCCTCAGCTTGGAAGACCCTTCTGGGGGATGAATCCCCCCCCGCTGTACATCGCAGCCCGACATCCAGGAAGACCTCATAGCCACGATGAGGCGGTATAGTGTTAGAAGTTTGTCATCTATGTGAAACAATGCGACAGAGTCAGTTCGTTTTTTTTTCGAAGCGTGGTGTTTTCAGAATGTTTCATCAAATTTTGGAGAAATCGGCCAAAACATAAAACTGTTAATGAACGAGTTCCAACAAAAATCTCAGATTCACAAAAATTTGGATTCGATAGCAGATATGAAGAGCTTTGTGGAGGAGTATCCCCAGTTCAAAAAAATATCAGGTTAGTGGGTCGAAATGTTTCTTTCGTACCATGCTTGTTACTATTACTGTTACTTGTTATGGTGCGTGTAGTGCAGTGATCGGAGGCCTGCGATACACATGGGATTGTTCTCCGCGCCACAGAGTCACCAAGCCTTTCGTCCCTCAGGGGTCGGGAAATTGGTACCAGACTTGTCTGGGAGGATAGCAGCACTGGCTTGACACATCGGTAGGCCATCGCGAGTCCATTGTAAATGTCAGATATGTATTCAGTGGTACCCAACAACGCTTAATGAGGTCGAATGAATGGCGCAACCTCGAGGGATTGATTGATCGACGTTGAGAGTTTTATTTTTTTTTTTATCATGCCTATTACTTCTGTTTTATTTTCCCACTTTATAGGTTGTTTACAGGAACAGTATCAAAGCATGTTACATTAGTGGGAGAACTGAGTAAAATTATAGCGAACCAGAATCTTCTGGAGATTTCGGAGGTAAGATTTAAATGTTATTCACGCTGCATTTGTAACTGTAAAGGAGTATGAGGTGTTGGAGGTCGAACAAAGTATAGTTGCTGAAGGTGACCATTCTCGTTGTCTGGAGCGTATTCGCGTACTTATCAATCATCCGAAAACTACTCGCTTGGTGAGCGACTGTATACTCTTCATGTTAATTATTTGCATTATTTGTAATATTTCAGAATGCTTTACGACTTGTACTTCTTTATGCGCTTCGATTTGAGGGAAATCCCAATAACGATATCCCGGGTCTGGTTAATTCGTTAAAAAAGGTTAAGATTTACCGCAGGTTTAGCCCTATTCATTATTTTATAAGTATTTATCCGTAGTCGTTATATATTCAGAATCCAAACACTGCAAACATTGTTAAATCACTGTTACGGTATGCTGGTTCTGCTCGTAGAAACAATGATCTCTTTGGCGAAAGCTCAACTATGGAGATGACAAAAAGGTATTGCTTGACATTACATTAATTCGTTGCATATATTCGGAGTCAGAGTAGGCACACGTCTGTGCTGTCCTTATCCTTCGTGAATTCGGTCCATGTCAGGTAGGAGTTCGTAAATTTCAATTTTTTCGTTATAGTTTCAACTATTCAACGTTATCTGTAATGTGGATTTTCTAGGTTTATTAAAGGCTTGAAGGGAGTTGAGAATATTTATACTCAACATCAACCTTACATCAAGAACATCATAGAGAATGTAATTAGAGGGAAACTGTCAGAACAGCAGTATCCATTTCTACCAGGAGATTTCGTAAGGTGAATTTTCTAACTTGCTCAAGTTATTCGACAATGGTAAATTCTTGACTGTGAGGTAGGTCTTCAATTTGTCATTCATATATTTTTAGAAAAGATTCCTTCTTTTGTAACCTGTGTGGAGCCGTTTTTTTAAAACAAAAATCCGAGGTGACTTATTACTTGGATACTTGAACGACCCATCTTCACTGGTTGTGTGGGCCCCAGCATAATTTCCATTTTTTGGAGCTTTGCTCATTTAGCCACTGTGGTTCTCTCTCTGGAGTCTCGAGGTCAGCCTAGCCAAAGTCTGACCCAGGTCGTCACCATCACAAGGAGTTGCCATCCTTGTGGATGAGAGGGAGATTTGCCGCCATGGCACTAGTTTGAGACCAGAGCAGTGGTGGATACTGGTATGGGTTTACTGTTAGCTGGCCTTTCTAACGGAAACGCCGGATTTCTTCTCAGCTTGGGAGACCTTGCTGGCTTATGGATCCCCACGCTGTATGTCGCAGCCCGATATCTAGAAGCACATCCCTGCCACGATGAGGCAGTAAACCGTTGGGAAGACGTGGCTTCATGCATTCTTGCAAAGTTTTTTTTTATTGTCCGAATTAGATGAAGTCGTTCAGAGTTTTTGGTGACGTAGTCACTATTGTGCAATGTTGTATTGCAGCAGTCGACTCGACAATTTAATTGTATTTATTCTTGGCGGAGCTACATTCGAAGAATCCTTATTTGTTCGATCACAAAACGAAAAACGAATGCAGGGTGGCGGTGGTCCGGCAGTTTTACTGGCTACAACATTCATGCACAATACAACGAGGTACGTTGAGTATACGCCGAACGTCAGATCTTAGTTTTTTGAGCTCTAGTAACTTTGCTATCTGGGTAACCTTTTTCAGTTTCATTGAGCAGTTTTCGACAGATGCTTTTTGCTCGAGGTAAACACCTATGAGTCTGCTGGTTCCAAGTTATGTTTAGAACTAGACGTTAGGTACAGAAAATCTCAGTACTACTATCCATGACCTTGTCCTTATGAGTTTTTTTATACAGTGTAAATGCTGCCGTGGAACTTAATGTTATGGAAAAGCTGTAGGATTACTTAATTACATTTCGTTTCTTTTTCTATCTCTAGTCTCCTAACATTTCTTCGAGAATCTAAGGTGATCAAAGGTGTATTTGTCTGTACATTCTTTAGGAGTAAATAAATAGGTGTATGAAAAATCCTTTGAGTGCTAATCAGTTGTTGACAAATCTTGCTGCGAATGGAGAAATGCTTACTTTTATATTGTTCGTTCTCGTATGTAACTGTACAGGTTTTATCCACATTCCGATTTTTGTAACAGATATCTGGAAGCGTAGAGTTGCGCTTTTTTGTAAAATGCATTAGGATTGTGATATTCACACTTCATCCCTTGAATGTAAACATTCATATCTAATAAATGGATGAACTTTGCAGCAGTAGTTTAAAGCGTGCATAGGTAACCTTCTTAGTTCTGTGGACCCTTATAATATAACAAATAAATAAATAAAGCTTTCGGCATTGATCAATCCCTCAGGGATGCGCTATGTATTCGACTTCATTAGGCATCGTTGAAAGTGTCTGAATGCATATATGGCTTTTACAATGACTCGAGGTGGCCCACCAATGTATCGAGCCAGTGCTGCTATCCTCCTAGACAAGTCTGGTACCAATTTTCCGACACTGGAGGGTACCAGGGCGCCTCCGACCACTGCGCTACACGCGCCCGGCACATACTACGTGGTATAAATCAGCCTGTCAATGTTAACTAATTGGTTGTTGACCATTTTTTGTGATAGTACTGTTTTTTGTGAGTATTATTTGCAATTATGCTGTTTGTCAAGACATTACGACATAATTCCATGTTGGTTTTGAGACAAAGGAATTGGTGGGAGTGTGAATAAATAGAATTAAGAGGATAGAAGTGAGGGTGCTTGTGTTTTTCTAGGTAGATCTTCATAATCTCGAAAGCCGTATGCTACACTTTATTGATCATTTTGTTCATTTTGTTAAAAAATTTGTTGATAGCAACTGGTACGGTTCGTGGAATCCTTTATGTTACCTTGGAGCGTCACTGCTGTATTGAAATGGTCCAAAGCATGTAGCGGTTTCGAGCATTTGGTTAGTTTCCCCGAATCTTTTGGACTTAGCTTTTGCATACGAGTGAAGTGCTTGCTACTTTCTTTTCTTTCGCGCAGTTACAACCGTAATTACCATATTTGTCTGCTTGGAACTCTGTGAACATGTTCATGGGTTATCTTGTAGTATTCTGAAGCTGGAGGATTGTTCTTTGTAACGGGTTGAATTCCGCTTATTATATTCCTCTTGATCCGTCGAATTATTGTCGGTAGTCGTTGTCGCCTTGGAAGAATCCTAGTCGCAAAGGAGCAAATTCCCTCGTGTACGCAAGGACCGGGGACTGTGGTAAACACCTAGGAGCTATCTGGCACAAATATTTCTGGATTTCAGGGAGAATGACGTTGTACTAGCATTGTGCATGTAGTTGTCTTCGTTGTAATTTGTAATGTACTCTGTAACATGGACGTTCATAAATCAGAAATCAAGATGACCAGAAGAACGATATATGAAGGATCAGAAGTCGTGTATGACCTGCGCATTTCAGAGCAAGCTGCCCGAGATAGGTCGTGTACGACGAACCCAAATATTGTGGGCACTTCGGCCGAGGAGAGTCACATATGACTCACCATGAGAGCGACCGGAGATTCGCTGTCGTCCCTTCGTGTGCTACACATAGTAATGGATACACCGTTTTGCGACAAAGCTAGACAATAGCTGACGACACTTCCTAGATTACTAGACTATTTCAATGATTCACAACTTGTAAATTTATGGAAGGGATTCTTTCCTATCTCAACAATTGTATACTTTCCATGCAGTACATTTTCAAACTCAAACGTGTTTAGAATTAGGATTCTCAGGAAAGCGAACGTGAAATTTTCGGATTTGAAGTCTTAAAATTTCGAACGCATTGGCGCTAACCGCAAATCTGACCAATACATTGCGGGACATCATAGCCTCACGATAGACGGAATCTCTTTTGTTCATTCTCTTTCTTTTTTGAAATATGACCTTTGAAACAAGAAAGCGGAAGGAATATATGTGGTGGATTCCAGGGAATCAAAGTTTCATCGTAAAACAAGAGAACTTTTGCTCCGTGGGCAGGTATTTGTAGATTCCGGAGGATTTTATTCTAATGAATAAAATTCACTGATGAGGGTATAGGATGAGACATGTTAGTTCGAAGTTGGAAGCGCCTAGTATTTTCGCGTTGTATAAGTACTAAAGTACTTAGTTGGTTTCCCTAAAGCTTCCTGTTGGTTTACCGCCCCAACGTGGCTGGGAGATGATCCTGGGTGTCGGGCTGCGATATACAGCAGGAGGATTCATCCCCTTGGCAGGGTCCCCAAGCTGAGAAGGAGACCGGCGTTTAAATTATGAAACCCAGATAAGAGTAAACCAATACCAGGATCCACCACCGTCCTGGTATCAAAGTCGCATAGTGGTAAATCTCCCTCTGATCCACAAGGACTGCGATTGCTTGTGGTGGTGACGACCTGGAGTAGACTATGGCCTGGCTTAACGCAGGACTCCAGGGAACCAAAACGGCTAAACCAGAAAAACTCCAGTAAAATGGGGATTATGCTGGGGCCGCAGAACCGGTTAGGACGAGCCGTCCAAGTATCCAAACATCCAAGTAAGTACTATCCGTCTCCTTTTATTGTTCCTCCGTTCACCCAATTGTAACCCTCTTTGTGGCTTTGAGTTGGTTTTTCTTTGCCTTTACAGGATGAGTAAACAAAAAACAAACAACTGTTCGATGTAATAGCACCCACAAATCATCAGATTTGGAACTTAACGATGGGTTCTGGAAAATCGGTGTATAAAGGAAGAGAATGAAACAGTAAATTTTTTGAAAATATCCGCAGTGAATTAAATGTTGAAAAAATTTTTTGAATATCTTGAACGTGTAAGAACACGTAACAGAATATGATGAAATAAGGATGAAGTGTAAAATGTTGTTAAAACGTGCAAAAAAAAAATCACTGAACATGAAAAAGAACAACTGAAATAAAAGAATTCTCTGGGTACAGGCCTTCCAAGTAATTAAGTATTTCAGAAGGTTTATTCAATGGAAGAACAAAAGATCGCGTTAGTGTTCAAAAAAGCTGACTTCCACAATATCGGCAACTATCGCTCAATTTGCCTGCTGTCTGCCCCTGATCGAAGGACACCCATGTGAGCAAGCAGGGTTTCGCGAAGAATTCAGGACGATAGACCAGACTCAAACTATAACAAGCCTTAATGAAGTCGAATGCATGGCACAACCCTCAGGGATTGGTCAGCGACCAGAGCTTTATCCTTTATCCTTTTTAGCTCTCTAGAGCTTATTCCATATTGTTTATGACTAACTACTTACATGTAATCGAAATTTTCATCATATAACTGCAGTTTAATCCAGGTTCATTTGGACGAAGCTTTGAATCCTAGCCGGTCGCAAGCGTAAATGGATACCATTTGTCATCAAGCGCGTCTCCATTCACAGGGTGATGGCTAGAGTTCGTAGAGATGATAGAATTGAAATTGTGAAATGCTAAATAGGTCGCGTAGTTGAAGAGATACGTGACAGCGAAGTTCGTATGGAATTTGTGCGTTTGCCGAAAATCCCTCGACACGAAACTGCACGCGATAGTAGGCGTTGCATTGATGTAACCCTTTCTTTCGGTATCATCGAAAGTGCTGAACCAGCTTTGTTTCAGCCATCGAATTCTGTGTTGACGTCTCGCCAAATGCCGTAGTAAATGGTCTGAGACGAGCACTTCAGGGAATTAATTTAACAGAGCGTTTAACACAATGGAATCATAACAAAAATGCTTAGAAATAATGTGGAAAAATGCTTGACAGCTAAAGACTGTGTCACAAAGGTGCTTAGTGGAAACGGAACCTATACCTCGTCTAGAAACGATGAATGGGTTGTTATGATTGCCATGCTGTGTGTATGAAGTAGTTATGAAAATTTTTCTTGAGAAAATACATAGAACCATATACCACCTTATAACCTATATCATCCAGAGTCCCATTAGTCATCCAGTGATTCGGTGGGGTACCAATGAACTCCATGTGTTCCTGTTATACAACAGTGTCTTCCTGTGGACTTCGCTTGCCTGATAAACACGGAGAACATCGCATTTTACGCCTAAGGCTCTTTATTTTGATTGCTTTTAGCGAAAGTTTATCCACGAATATCTCGCTGGTCTATAGCTGGGAATAAACTCATGCGTATCATGTCTCTTTCGGGGTCGAAATAGGCTTATTTGATGAGGTTGACCGGAACCTACAGAATGCCACTCAGTCAGTCTGATTATACGTCACTGACCGGATCCATTTCCGAGATATAGTACAACTCGCATATGTATATGGATGTTCATCCTCCCAAAGTGTATAAATATCTGCGTTCATATTAAAGCTATAAATACATAATCCAGCGCAGATAGAGAGGTATCCCATCCGCTTGGATTTACCTGCGTTGACGGGAACGTGCATAGTTGTTGTTGATGTGCTTAACCTACTATTTACCACCTCTAGCGCAACTATAATTTTCGTGATCGGGTTTCCCCAATGACACACCATACTTCAGCGAAATGATCGACACCAATTGCACATGGTAAATAGTGGTGGCCAATTCGTGTTTTTCTGCAGTACTGACATTACCACTTTTGGAAAAGCTCGAAGATTCGACCGAGGTACTGCACTGTGTTGTTATGGATGGCTCGGGAAGCTTCACATTCAAGCAAGTCTGTCAATGACGATCTTCGG